TTATTTATTAATAATAATTATTTAAATATCTATTTTTGTTTATTAGTTTGCTGAAGAAGTAAATATTGATTTAAGTTCATGGTCTCCATCACAATATTGGGAAGCACGTTTAGCTGATAATCGAATGGTTGGATTATTTGTTATTGAAAATTTTGATGAAACAAATGTTCATTTTGAATATGATAAACGAGAAATTATTGTAAGACTAATATCGATAATTATTTCCTTTTAAATGAATATTCTATTCGAGGATATAATGTGGTTCAATTTACGTGCAAATAATGATGAAATGCATACATTAAGACAATATTGGAAAGAACAACAACGATTAAGTGATCCATATTATACAGCTCTTCCATTTATTGAGTAAGTTTAATAATGAAAAAAAAAAAAGAATAAATCAATAATAAAATTTTATTTAGACATTTAATATTTGAATATTTACCACATAAAGAAGAAAAATGTTTATTATCATCATCATCATCATCAAATAATTCAGTAATTGATAAACTTTTGGGTCGTTTACCTAATTGGCCATCAACTCCATCTTTATCTTCATCGATTTCACCTTCAAATAATGCTGGTTTAGAATTATTAAATTTACTTCAACAACAATCAAAGAAAGAATCATCCGAATTAATTCATACCGAAACAAGTCGAAATGCGATGAGCATAGTTGATCGATTGAATGAAGCTATTCGTCAAGCTAAATGTAATAATAATAATTCTACGTCAACAAACAATGCTGATCATCGTATTGCGGTGCAAGCCTAGTCAAACAAAATAGATAAAATCTTTTTCTTAACTGTATGTTACATGTGCAATATGTTAACTGCATGTACTTCTTAATTTTTTTTTTCTTTCTGAAACTTCAATAATAACAAATTTATTTTCTTTTTTTTTTGTATTTTCTGTCATAATTCTCTATTTTTGGTAATTGTTTGTAAAACAAAAAACAAAAAGAATGAGCGAATACTTTGTTGCTTGTATGTATCTAGATAGATTATGTTATATGATTAGTATCAACAATTAGCTAGCCATGTATTTGTATTTGTATTGTTGCTCTCTGTATCAACGTGATGCTCTTGTTCTATGTATATTTTTTTTTTCGTTTTGATGATGTGTGTAAACACATACTGTTTCAGAGTGATATAATAGTTGTTTTTGTTTTTTTGTTGAGATTATATGTTAAACATAGAAGAAGAAAATATTATGACTAAAGAGAATAATAGTTATGAATCAAATAAATATTCATAGATAGTAGAATTTCGAAATTTAAAATTTAATTTGTTATTTAATAATAGACATTGAAAACTATCAATGAAAAGTTTATGAATCATAGACAACATAAAATCTTGTTTCATTTAATAAGAAAAAACTAACATGATTTCTTTTTCTGATTAATCATCAATGATAATAAGACAAATATAGGAAGACATAACATTTGTAAAAAGTAAGATGATATTCACTTAAAATGAAAACTCCGTTACCCTTTCGTATAAAAAGTCTCATGTTGTTTGTTCGGTTTAGTATGCCATGATTGATCAATTCTATCACAATAGTTACATATCTCAAAATATTTGTAACATTGTTTATTTTGCATATATCTCGGCACAAATAAATTGTAAAATCTTAAATCTTTTTCTTTAAGAAATTCATCGTCGAATTCTCTTCCAACTTCTATCAATAGGGATGTATAGTGTGTTGGTGTAAATACTTAACAGTTAGTCACTGAGACATCAAATCTATCAAAATATGTCTTTTTCGTAGTAGTATGTTTGAATGGTTTAGTGAACAGTGGTGTCCAACAGCACATCCTATCCATAAATCTTAATTTAAAATAATAGAAGTGAATTTTTTTTCGTGGTCACCTAGTGTAGTTATATGAATTACATGTACTTCGCACGCATTATTTTATTAATTTATTTTTTCTATACGAATAAATGTTTAGTTTTAAAAATAGAACTCAGTATTACATAACTTTTTAAAGTCTCTGTTAATCATTCTTCTGATTTGACAACAGTTTTTGCCGAGTAATTTCCGAAGAATCTCGATATTCTGTTTCTTATTTATTTCCTTTCAAAAATAAAACATTCTAGAAATCTCATTCATGACCAAAACGAGTTCATTCATATGATTTCAATGTACTATTTTCATCATAGTCATTTTACGTAGCACAACTTTAGATTGTTTACTTAATACATCAATAATTAATAAAGACCAATGTTATAGATGTCTATATCAAAAATGCTTTTCATCGTTAGTAATTTTGATGTCAATATAAGATCAATACCATATACAAGTTAAAATAGGTTCCATATTTATCATTCTATTATTAATTTTAGTTTACTATAAATTTCTTATGGAAAAAGTATTGATTATATAGAATAAATATAATAATACTGGTGATAAAGTTTTAGTGTTATTTAATGTTGAAAAAAGTTTAGAAATTTTTGATTAGATAATGTTCATTGATTTAGATAGAATATTTCATTTTAATTCTTTTCTTATTCTTGTAATTAAATTGAAAACAAAAATAAAGAAAGAAAACTTTGTCAAAGAAAAATTAAATTTTAGTTTTTTTTAGCATAAACAAAAGAAAAGATTTTGAAAGACATGAAATTGAATAAATACAAATCATTTATCTTAAAATTCATAAGATATAATTTCTGATACAGATCTTTTACTCTTCTATTTATTTTTATTTATTATTAATTTATTATCAAGAAACAATTTTAGGTCGTAATGGACAACAGAGATTATAAAAAGCTTCTTGTGACCAAAATGACCAAGGTTTCCAACCGACCCAACCCTAAATGAGAAATAAAAACAAAATTTTCATATTAAAATCTCTATATTCAAATAAGTCTTAACAAACTTTATCTTGAATAATTTTAATATCATCTACTCCTGTATAATGTGGATCAAGAACAAGTAACATTGAATCACCTGTTGATTCATTAAAATCAACACCTAATATTGTATGAGCTAAAACACCACCACCAATCATAATTGGAGTTCCTTCTTTATTAAAATGATTAATAATTTCACGTACATGCTCCATCATATCAGCTCCACGTTCAACTCGAATAATTTTACATTCAACCTATGAATTAAAACGAAAAAATATTTTTGAAATTGTAGATTTTTTTTGTGAGTTACATTTAAATAATTTTGTAAAACAAATGATACTTCCATACTACCAATCCATTGACGAGAATTTAAAAATTTTTTTGGTTTATCTTCAATATCAACAAGAATCTAAATATTCAAAAAAAAGCACAAAATAAAACTTATTTTATTTTATAATTTTTACTTGTTGAATTTGTGTATGTGTTGGTACTGATTTTGTTGTATAACCTTGTAGAATAAACCATGAACAAATAGTTTGTAATGATCGATAAGCACAACCCCACATATTATCATCAAAATTATCTTGCATATAATGATAATATGCATAATGACCATCAATTAATGTTTGTTGACCACCTTTGACTAGAAGATAAATAATTTAATAATATTTCCTTTCTTATCTTTTTTTTTATTATTATTTATATAAAGAATATTTATACCTTTTGATGAAAGATTTTTATGTACATCAAAAAGTCGTCCACTACTCATTAGAGATAATAATTGTCCATCACCAAAATCTATTGAAACAAATGGTTGATTTATTGATAATTGAGGATATTTCATTTGAAGTTCATTTCGAACTAATAAATAAATAAATAAATATATATATATCAAAAGATTAAAATAAATAATATATTAAGTAATTATACCTTTATCATTATCACCATCTAAAAACGTAAATATTTGATTAATGGATTTAATATAATAATGTCGGAATGTCTTGTTGATTTTATTCTACAAATAAAAAGAAACATAAAAATATTGTATCTCATATATTTAGCATCACTCTTTTTTTCATTAAATAGAATAGATTCTGCAAACATGAAAGTAAGAATGTACTTTCATGTATCATCAATAAAATTGACGAAGAAGGAAAACACGCGTGAAAGCTACAGTGATCCCTGATTTTTTGTACTATTCAAATGCCATTTTACTAACCGAGTCTTGTGTTACTTAAATATCGATTATCACACAATAATCTTCATACTCTTACAAGTTTCACTGGTAACCTTAGTTTAAATGTATTATACACTATAGAGAATAGAGTACATGTTTTGGACACATCTAAATAAATAATTCTTGGTAGTTCATAAAACTTTTTGGTTTGTTGAAAACACAAAGAAATAATTTATTCTTTGTGCATACCACCGGGTCTCGAACTGTGTTCGTTTACTGTACGCTGAAAACATGTTACTCGTCCCAGAAAATTCGTTATTTTCAAATCAGTTTCTGCAGTTACTTATTGCTCATTGACTCGTTTTTACTCAGCATCATATCGAATCATCCAATTTGAGAATAAAAAATCGTACCAATGCTGAACTCCTGGATGGAAAATCTATCCTGTAGGTTGTAGTGATGCTTTCAAGAAAGAGCAATCAATCGGAAGAAATTGAGCAAAACTTGAAATATCAATGAACTATTCAGCAAGAAAGTTTATCCATCTTTAAGTGTTGATAGAATGTCAATAAATCAGATGATTATGTGTCTCATAATTTTATAATTGGAAAAATTTGTCGTACTTTTCTGTTTGCTTCCGAGAAACTCCGGTAGATTCTTTTCCCCCGGCAGAGATATACATAGTATCAGTATCGAAGATTAATATTACACTAAAAAAAATAAAATAAAATAAAATAGCAACTCACTTGTATTTCATTATTAGTACTATTTTCTAATATATCTAGTTGTTGTGTAAGTTGTCCTTCAAGTTGACGACGTACATCAGCTATTGTAGTTGATCGTTTAACAACAATAAGTAGATCAAGTTGAAGAGAAAGATCTTTAAAAAACAAATAAATTTATTAATTTTTTTTCTTAAAAACTCTAATTACCTTGTCCTTTTTTATTTGTATTGCACTTTTCAATGACTGGCGTATAACAAGATTCATCACCTGTTGTATATCTTAATATTTTTCCGGATATAATTTGCCATGGATAAATACGTCGATAATCATCATTTTTTTGTTTTTTATCATTCACATTTGTTTCAAGTAGATCATCAATTGTAACATCATCTAAAGAATATTTTCCATCATTTGTAAAAGCTTTATCACGTGTTAAATAAATATTTAATGGAGAATTTAAATAATAACCACTATCAATTAAAAGAACACGGAAAGCATTATATATTTCATCAATATCTTAAATATTAAAACAAAAAGAAATTTGTTTTTTTTTATAATTTATTTCTTTTCTATACCCTGATTATAAAATAAATTCGTTCGACAATTAATTCGTATTAAAATTGATTCATCGTCTAAGATGGATGATATGATAACCATTATCTGGAAGGATAGTATTGCTTTTAAAAACAAATAAATAAATAAATAAATGATGATGATCATCAAATATTATCTTTTATTTTAAAATCAGAAAAAAAGGAACACAAGCCATATAATATTTTTTTCCTGCACAACGATTTACATGCGTATGCAAATTCTTGGTTTTCTTTCGATTTCACAGAAAAAAAATATCGTCATTCTGCATATGATGTCGAACTTTTTAAAGGGTGGTTTTTTTTTGTTTATGTTAATGCTTGTCGAAGTACATAAGGAAGAAGACCACCATGAAGCATATAAAGACGTTCAATTTCTGTATCAACACGAGCAATCATTGAAAATGTTTTACCATTATCAAGCTAAACAAAAAAAAACGAAAATAAAACATATTATCATTTCATTAAGAAATTCTTACCTTAATAAAAGCTAATTTTTCATTATCATATATATTATATTCAATTGAATAAATTTCTTTTCCAGTTAAATTTAATGATGTACATGTATCACCATCTTTAAATTGTAATGGTAATATACTCATACCAATTAAATTTGAACGATGTTGTGGTTCAAAACTCTCAGCAAGTATAGCTCGAATACCCTAAAATAAAATTCTATTCAATTTAAGTCTTTTTGTAATTTCATTTCGTATATACAAGCATCCAAGGTCCTTTAGCAACCCAATCTCTTGTTGGTCCACAGCCATAATTTTTTCCAGCAAGAACAATAAGTGGAGTTTTTGTTGTACGATAATGTTCGGATACATCAAAAATATCCATTTCTGTATTTGTTGGTAAATAAAGCGTTGTTGTAGCTGGTGATGGTGATGATGACGATGATGGAAGAAGGGATGATATACGTTTGGAAACAAGTTTATTATTTAAACGAACATGATTATATGTACCACGAACCATTACTGCGTCATTACCACGACGAGAACCAAATGAATTATAATCACGTGGAGTAATTCTGATAGATATAGAAAATCAAAACAAAAATTAGTAGAGAGGCTATGATTGTCAGGAGATATTCATTAGACAAGGATCAAAAATAACTCAATTCGAAAGAGTATGTCATACTGCAGTAGAACATTGTTTTTTAAATTTTTCTTTTTTATGCGAAGAAAAAAGATGAAAAGTTCAATACATTGCAATAAATGAAATACTAAATAATAAGTTATATTGTATATGAAAGATCAAACCTATCTTTCCATGCATTTTTCTTAATCTCGATTTTTCTGATTAAAATTGACTTTTTTTCTAAGGGAGTTTAAACTTAAGAAATGCATCTTAATTTTACATAAAGCAAAAAAGTTTATCATGAAGGGAATGAAGTTATGACGATACATCTATTTAGTTTTAGTCAATGACTTGTTTTTCATTAATAAAAATGTAAACTTTAATTTAGACAAAATTTTTAAACATACAGAGGATGCCTCGAAAGTAAGAGCGCAGAGAATTTTTTAGATTTCTTCTTGTTACATGCTTAGGTAAGTCTCATATTTACACCACAAATAAAACTTTCTGTTCATCTGTGACTGTTAGAGAAATTCGATGTTTTTCGAGTTCCATTGTTTTATCTGCTTATCCCGATCTATGAAATGAATCCAATTTAATTACGTTTTGTACTGATTAGCCTAAAAGTGGTCAAGAATTAATTAAATCGAATTCACTTCACAGATCACGATAAGCAAACAAAACTATGAAACTCGAAAAACATCGAATTTCTCCTAAAATTACAAATGAATAGTAAGATCTATTTGTGGTATAAGTATGAGACCTAAGTGATTACGCACAAAGCAGAAATCGAAAAAACTCTATGTTTCCTTACTTTTAAACCACCCTGTATATTCTTTTTATGTATATCATTCTGCAAAGAAATTAGTGCCGATCAACAAGAAACAGATACATTTATATTTATATATGATTAATGTTAATTCGCATTCGGATAACGAATATTGTATCAATCAATCCTTGGAGATTTATTGAGTAAGAACTGTTTTATTTTTCACTGTTATTCTGTTGAATGCAAATCAACTGACATCAATTTGAACTGACTCTTCTAATGATTCGTTACGTATTCTAACTCGAAAACGATTGATTTATTTATATTTTCTGTATATGTAATACAATTTTTTTTTGATTTTTACCCTTTTTGTGTTAAATATTTTGCAGCTGGGCATGTTCGAGATATCGAACCTGCTGGTGATATATGATCTGTTGAAACATCATCACCCAAATAGAGAAGTACACGAGCATTTTCAATACATATAGTTTTCGATACCGGGTTTTGTTTAGTCTATAAAAACAGAAAAGAAATTTATTCATAATCACTAAGCAAAAAAAAAACGAAGAGATATTCTTTACTATTGTATCAAAAAATGGTGGTCGTGTTATATAAGTTGAATATTCTGCCCATGGATATTGTGGATATGTATTAATTGAAGGTATTTTTAATGAATTCCATTGTGGATTACCAATCTAAAATAATAAATTATCTTTTATTTTATTTTTTTAAAACAAAATTTATTATTAAATTTACTTGAATTTTTTCATTAATTTGATGAAAAATTTTTTTAATTATTATTTCATCTTCTATTTCTTCAATTATTTGTCGACTAGGCCAAATATCTTTTATTGAAATTTTTTTATTATCAAAACCAATTGTTTCTTGTTCTAAATCAATAAGAACATTTCCAGCTAACGCATAAGCAAGTACTAATGCTGGTGATGTTATATAATTTGCTTTAATAAATGAATGTCGTTGTTGTGTTTGACGTGTACCACTAATCATACCAATAGTTATTAAATTATTCTTAAAGAAAAAAAAAATATATAATTGAAAAAAAAAAAGAACTTCTATCTTGTCTTTTTATTACTAACTTCATTTACAATTTGTTTTATATCAGATTTTAATCCATTCATTTCTTCATTTTGAATACATTCTTTACAACCATAACCGGTAATATGAAAACTATTAAAAAAAAACAAAGAATTTCTTTTTGGAAGAAAAAAAAATTATTTTTTTTTTGTTTTTACCCTAATCTCTCTAAAGATTTTAATATTCCACTTTCACGTAAATATGTAGTAACAACACCACTACCAGGTGATAGATATGTTTGAGTAAAACTTGGTACTCGAAGACCATAATCAAGTGCATTCTTTGCTAGAAGACCTAAAACAATAAAAACAAATATTTTTATATCTAGATTTCCATAAGATTAAAATATTATTGATGATTTATATTTCATTTTATTTGACTTAATACTATTTATCTTAAAAAATTTTGGAAAATATCAAGAAAAAAAAAGGACTTCTTTATTATAAGATATTTAATTTTAGTTTAAAAGATTTGAGAATTTTTCTGTATTGTATATGAGACAAAAAAAAAAAAAAAAAAAAAAAATTTCTTTGTTTATTTATTAGAAATGTACCTGTGGTTAATAATGATGTGGCATGGCTGATTCCATTAGTACTACTTGTTATAGCAGCAAGAGTCACTGAACCATGTTTCACTATTTCATTAGAAGATATTGGAATAGAACAATCAAGTTGATCTGTTGGTAGGTTGTAACCCTAACAGAAACAAAAGTTAGAGAATCTATAGAATAGATTCTTGTGATTTAAAATAATTTTTCGAATTATTGTTTTAAAAATTCGAAAAGAATAGATGTGATATCACACTATTGAAGGCTTCAAAATTTCAATATTCATTGAAAAAATAAGCAAATCATTGATTACAAGTAAAAAAAATCTAATGAATTCTAAGAACAATTTTGACAATATGTTTCTGATTCTATTTATTGATCTTTTCTATTCCAAAATCATATCAGAGAAAATACAATATAGTTAAGGAAATCTTAAAATAAATATTGAAGAGCAGATTTTTAAAGTCTTGCTCTCCCACTGATCAGAGTCCAATATCTAGGTCAATTTTTCGAGACTCAATCCAAAGTCAATGATATTTCATGGCCAATCAAAATATGTTTCTTCAGAAATGAATTATTTGTTTTGGTGAATCCATACGAACTCTTCTTCAATTGAAAAAGTCTTTATCTTATCTAGAATTATTGTTTATCTTTTATGAAGTTTGATATCGGTCATCTAAATATAACCTGACACGACTCCAGTGTAAAAAATGTTCTTGATAATTTGACCCAAGAACAAAAATATTTTTGATGGCACAATCCGAGTTATACTCTACTACAGACTGTAGCAAGCACATTTGCAACTATCAAGCATAAACCGCTAAAGACAAAATATAGAACCACATTCTATGATATTGTCATTCGCCAAGTAGAAAAACACATACAAAAGCATCAGTTGATAAGAACATTAAAGTACGTTCGAGAATTTAAATATAGTTTATCTTTTACGTGAAACAAAGTATAAAGTACATCAAATAGTGATTCATATCTAGTTTACGCAAAGCAAAGATTGTATTTCAAAATTTTAATCCTTTGAAAATTGTACTAACAACTATTTATTTATTTATTTTTTGGTTTAAATTCATACTTTGAATCCTGGTGGTGCTGTGAGACATTCTTGAAAATCCGATTTCATCGAACATAAAGATACTTTATCTTGTGCACGTTTTGGTCCACTACAATTTGGTATAACAGTACATAAATCAAATTCATAAACATTTGTATAAACAATATTTTGATGTTGAACATCATCACTAAATAATTTAGCAGCAATTAAATAATTACGCATTTTATCAATAAATGATGTATCTCGACCTAGAAATGATCAAAAGATTAAATTTCATAGACAAATAAATAAATTAAAAATTAAAACTTTTACCAGTACGAGAAAAGTGTTTTAAACATAAATCATCCAATGGAAAATAGGCAAGTAAAGCGCCTTGTTCAACACATAAATGTGCTATTGAAGAACGATCAGCAATAGTTAAATAATTTAAACTGGAACCAAAAAATTCAATATATTTATTATCAAGACCAACCACACGAAGATACTATTGATGACAAAAATAAAATAAATTTTATATAAAAAATGAACACAACAAAAAAAAAAAAGAAATAATCATTCATACTTTCATCAAAGCTGATATAAGATCAGTGGATGTTGACATAAAATGTGGTTGTCCAATAAGACGACAACCAATAATAACTGATGCAAGACGTATATGAATCGGTTGTCCGAACATTGCTGCTTCAGCTTCGATTGTACCTAGATCTAAATTTATTCATTTTATTATCTTTAAGAAGAACACAAAAAACAATTGAATTTTTGTTTTTACTATAACTCAATACACCAAACCCATTAGAAAGTGTTGTATGTGTATCGGTACCAATGATTGTATCAGGATAAACAAATGTTATTTGTTCATCATTATCTTTTTCTAAGATAATTAATTTTGATATATATTCAAGATTGATTTGTTGACATACACTGATTCCTGGTGGAACTATTGATAAACGATTAAATGCTCTTGCACTCCACTTTAAAAAGAAAAAACAAATAAACTCAAAATTTTTTGTCTTGAATATTTTTATTATTAATTTCCGACGAGAAACAAAAAAATCAATAATTCTTACCTTCATAATTTGTAATTTTTCAATATTACGTTCAAATTCTAATTGTTGATTTCTTTCAATAGCATTAGCACTAAATATTAAAATAATAAAACAAAAAAAAATCTTATTGTAAAAATATTCCATTCTATGATCATTCACCAAATTGTTTTTTCTTGATGAAATGGACATAATTCATAACCACATTCTAAATTTGTTATATTATTTGTATCTGTTGTCTTTCTTACAATTCTAATATATCAAAATCTTTAATAAATAAAAGAAATTTACAAATATATTTTTAATTTTACTTTCTTGCAACATCTGCTTCAATATTATAATAATCAAGTAAAAGTGTTGTTGATATTTTTGGTTGAATCAGATGTGGATCAACACCTAAACGAACAGCTGCATCACGCATTGCTGCTAAATCAATTATCGCTGGTAAACCACTTGAAAGAAAAAAAATCATTTTAATAAAATTTAATAAAAAAAAAACAAAAAGATTCTTTACGAAAAATCATGCATAATCACTTGACTAGGTAAAAAAGGTAATTCACTGCTTGGCATAATATTTTCTTGCCAATTTAATATTTGTTGTATATGTTTATTTTCAATTGAAATATTATTAAAATGACGAACAGTTGATTCAAGTAAAATTCGAAGACAATATGGTAATTGTACTAAATAATAAAATCAAATTTTCAAATTTTCAAAAAAACAAAATATAAAAATTTGTAATTTACAAAATAATTGTGGATTAAGTTGTGATACATCATAATAAATATGTTCTTGATTATTATGTTTAATAGATGTTCGTAAGGATTTATATGG